GTAAAGGAACTGACAACCTGAGTTCACACGTGATGGAAGGAGAGAACCAATTCCCATTGGCTGTACTTTGTCCCTACACGTGCATCCCACACACAAAATAAAGTGTGAAAGGAGATTCCCTTTTTTAAAGGCTGAGCAAAATAACCTAAAGTAGTGGTTCTCAATCTTCCTAACGCTGTGAGCCTTTAATACAGGTCCTCATATTGTGATGACCCCACCCATAAAATTAGCTACTTCTTAACTGTATTTCTGCTTGATGACCCAGAGTCCAGAACCAACTCTTCAGACTTCTGCACATATAACGAAAATAAAAATGTGTTAAAAAAAACTGGGCTGGAGGGATGGCTGAAGGGTTCAGAGAGCTTGTTGCTCTTCCAGGAGACCCAAATTTGGTTCCTACCACTCCCCACACATACATAAACAGGTAAAATAAACTTTGAAAATAGCTGTCTTCTACAACCAAAAGACCCCAGATTAATCAGAGCAAGGACCCCAATTTTTTTGTTTTTTGAGATAAGGTCTTGTTTTGCAGGCCAGACTGGCTTTGAACTGGTCCTCCTCCTGCATCAGTTTCTGGAGTGCCATAGGAATGTATTACTACACCTAGGATACCAGGTGACTCTGAAGCAAGTATTTCCTTTTCTTGGCCAGGGGTTGACACATGGCTTGATTTGTAGATTAGGCTGTCCTAGCATTTTCTAGCTAACAGTCTATCCTAAAAATCAAGGCAATCCTCCTGTCAAATGCTGGAATTGCAGGCACACACTACCAAAATTAACCTGATCCAGAAGTATTTCAAGAATACCTTACTCATGCTGGGCAGTGGTGGAACACAACTTTAATCCCAGCACTCAGGAGGCAGAGGCAAGCAGATCTCAGTGAGTTCGAGGCCAGCCTGGTCTACAAAGTGAGTTCTAGCATAGCCACACTGTTACACAGAGAAACCCTGTCTTAGAAAACCAAACCAAACCAAACCAAACCAACAAAATACTTTACTCTCTGCTGTGTGACCCCAAACCAGGGAAGTTCTTCAGAAGTTTTAAATTTCTCAACTCTACAGGCTTCACAGAGGAGCTGGTGTGAGGGCTCAGCAGGTAAAGGTGCTTGCCACCAAGTCTAATGACCTGAGATAGATCTCAGGAGCCACCTCACCCTCTGAGCTCCATAGCTCACTCGCTCTACTTTTTTTTTTTTTTTTTTTCAAGACAAGGTTTCTCTGTGCAGCCCTGGCTGTCCTGGACTCACGGTATATACCAGGCTGGCCTCAAAGTCACAGAGATCTGCCTGCCTCTGCCTCCTGAGTAGTACTGGGACAAAAACACCACTCAGCCATACAGACGCTAAATAACAACATGTAAAGAGAGAAAAAAAGGCTTCAGACCAAACAGTCTGCACTGCACTTACAGTAAGTACCCAGTTGTTAATTGCTGATTCACCAGTTCCACAGCAACAAAATAAGGAAGAACTGGACGAGTGGGTGTACAGAGCCACCACCACATCCTAAAACATTTTTTTCTTTTCAGAGATTTAGGCTTTCTTCTTTTTTTTTTTTTTTTTTAAAAAAAAAAAATCAGTTTACTTTTTTGCCTGCAGGGTGATGGCAGAGTAGGACAGGGACATATATGCCACAGAATGTATGTGGAGATCAAAAGCATGCAATATGTGAAAACTGGTTTTCTCTCCTCCATCTTCTGGACCCAGGGATTGAGCTCAGAGCTTTAGTCCTGGAGTGCCTTAATCCATGGATCCACCCTGCAGTCCAAAATTTCTAATTCATGATGGTTTCTTTCCTCTTAGAGGAGAGATCAAACCCAGTCAGTCAGCCACACACTATGATGGGCAAGCTTTACCACTGAACACCTCCAGCCTGTGTTCTGTGTGTGCATTTGTTTCCCAATCTCTTTCTCTTTTTTTTTTTTTTGAGGCAGGGTTTCTCTGTGTAGCAGCCCTGGATGTCCTGGAACTCACAGAGCTCCACCTGCCTCTGCCTCCGAAGTGCTAAGATTAAAGGCATGCACTAACACCCCCCCCAGCTGTTTTCCCACTTTCATACTAAAATTTTCACCTAGGGTACTCCTCCTTGGAGTCTTTTCCACTTTTCCTTAATAAATCGACATTTGCTCTACTGAAAGAATTTTTTTCCACTTACAACATCTCACAATACCCCCGGTCAGCTGTGCTCTTTGCTTCCCTTCCCTCTAATTTTGTGACACATGAAAAGTTCTCGGACATACCACTTAAGTACTTTCAGCTCTGTAAACAAATCTTACATAGGCACAAAGCCAACGTGAAATAAGCATTAGGAAACATTCCACTTTTCATATCATTGATATAAAAAATATTTTTAAAAAGCTAACACTTTCAATGAACAAATCCAATTTTCTTTCTATGGCAGACCATGAAAGATAGCTTTTAATCTAAACAAAGCTACATGCTTTTGGGAAACCAGGTTAATGGAGTTAAAACTGATCGCATTTCATCAATAACTGCTAGCTCCTCCTATTTTCTTTTCTTTTCCAGTACCAAGGACTGAGGCCAAGATCGTACCCATGCCAGGCAAGCACACTCACCACTGACTTAACAACCCCAGGCCCTTTCCTGCCTTAAATTCAAAATACACCAGGTGGTGGCACACACCTTTAATCTTAGTACTGGGAACACAGAAGCAAGAGGTTTCTGTTAGGTTCCAGGCCAGCCAGAATTACAAAGTAAGATCCTGTCTCAAAACATCAAACACAACCCAAAATACAATTAGTAAATTCTAATACTGTCTTACCCAAGAATTGCACATACATGTATTTCACACAAACAATGTTTTATAGTTAACTAGAAGTTAAGTTTTAGAAAGTAGAAATCATATGATGCTCGTATGTAAATGGAAGGAGTTGATTTATCATTTACAAAGGCATCTGGTTGCTACTTACTCTCAAGTCTCCCATGATGAGTCTACAACCACACTATTAGGCCTTTGGAGCTTCCTTAGAACCCACGCTCCATGCTCTTGGGTGTGTTTGTCTTTCTGAGAGAGTGGCTCTTTCTCAACCCTCATGCTTAAGTCTCATTTAATAGAGACTTTGTAAAACCCCATCGTGGGCCAACAAGATGCCTCACTAAGTAAGGCGCTAGGTGTCCAAGCCTAACAACCTGAGTTCAATCCCAGAATACATGTAAATGGTGGAAGGGAGAGCTGACTCTCTGCAACAGAATGAACATATGACCCAAAAGCAGAAAAGGAACTATTTGGAGGAAAAAAAGGAATCAGAATAACATATGCCCCTCCATGATAAATGTTAAAGATTTCTACTTCAGAGGCTGGTAAGATGACTTCAGTAGTTCAGAGCATACTGCCGAGTTCTGCTCCCAGCATCCACATCAGACTGCTCACAACCACAGGAACTTCATGGGGGACCTGACCCCTTGAGGCCTCTAGAGGCACTTGCACCCAGATACACCTGCCCACAGAATTTAAAATAAATCCTCTCTACCCAGGGTTTTACTAGGTAGTCCTTGCTTATTTGGAACTTGCTATGTAAACTTAGCCTTATACTCTAATTCAGAAAGCCACCCACCTCTGCCTTCTTGAGTGTGTGTGTGTGGGGGGGGGTTTAAAAGTGTGATCGACCTCAATCAGCTTATCAACACCTAACCTCTTACCTATACCTTGCAATCTTAACAATATCCTGCAATGTCTTATCATCTGTAACATCAACCAACACCTACATCTCTCACATTATCCAGGATGGATATGTAAAAGCAAAATGAAAACAAAAGTAAAAACTAGGCTGGGTATCATGTACCTGTAATAATCCACACTTGGGAGGCAGAGGCAGGAAAAATGCCTTAAATTCCAGGCCAAACTTGACTAAAAAAAAAGTCATAAGTAATCACAACACTGCAGAGGCAGGAGGATCTCTGAGTTCGAAGCCAGATTGGTCTACAGAGACAGAGAGGACTACAGAGAAAGCCTTTCGGTTGGGAGTGCTAAAAAATAAAGTGCGAGCTCTTAAATATTAAAATGGTGACAACAAAACTGTAGTGGCAATCATACATCAGTATCAGTATTCTTCAATACTGCACTTGTACAAGGCACTGCTACCCTTCAAAGTCAAGTGGCACGATGGTGGGGAGGGAGTGTGAGGGAGAAACCAGAGCTTTAAACTTCAGCAGGCATGGAGAAAGAGCAAGAGAACGCTTAAAGGATACAAACTTTCAGATGCAGGTTCTGGATACTTAACTACAGTACAGTGATTAGTACTAATGTATATCTGAAACTTGCTGAGAGTAGACCAAGTGTTCTCACCAAAAAGAAACTGAAGGTGAAGTTATGCTAATTAACTTGACAATGGTAATCACTTCACAACCTCTATGTGCATCAAAAGACCACGCTGTACATTTTAAATATATAAATTATTATCTTGTGAGTCATGCCTCAATAAAATACAGCTAGAGAAAGGAAACAATATCCAGAGAACTCCGAAAAGGATGAGGGCTGGGGGTTATACTAGAAAAAGTAAAGATACTGCGGGCTACCGGTTCTTTGCAAAATCTGTTAGAGCACAGCTGAGATTTGCTGATTGCAAAAAAGAAAAGAAAAAAATCTTTACAGAAGGGTTATTTAGACTAAATCCACACTATTCAGCAAAGAAAAGGGGAACGGAGATTCCAGAAAGCCACAGAAACATTCTGACGGTACCACCAGGAAAGTCTGAGGATGGGGGCGTTCCAACCCGGCCTCCACCTTGGCCACCCCACCTGCAGCGAGCGGGGCCTGGGAAGAGCAGGCTCGGCACAGGGTTGGATCGCCCGCCCAAGGCGAGCAAGCGGCCGCGGCTCCCGCGGAACCGGGAAGCAGTGCACGACCCCAGGGAAGAAGGGCTGCAGAAGGGCGGGGCGCGCGCCGCGGAGGTCGCAAGGGCGACAGCGCAGCCTGGGTCCCTCTCCTCAGGCCACGGCGGGGAAGGAAGGGACCGGGCTCCTACGCGACAGAAAGCACAACTTACTCCGCGGTCTTCCTCCGAGAGGAAGTCGGGGCCGTCATCCAGGCCTTCCTGCTGAGTCCGCGGGCCCGGCGCACCGACGGGTCGGAAGGGGAAAGGGAGACACAAAGAGAGACATTAGCGCCCGGCCCGCGCCGTCCCCGCGCCCGCCGCCCCCACCGCGCGCCCCGGGTTCGGCGCCGCCGTGAACACCCACCATCATGGCTGCTTCGGGTCCGGGACTCGCGCAGACGCACAAGCGAGGCCACGAACGAGCTGGCCGCGCGGGTGGGGCTGGAGGGCGGAGCCTGGCGCCAGCCCCGCCCCCTGCCTTCAGGAAGGCAGAGGGCTAGGGGTGTCCCTGGAGGAGAAAGGACACTCACTGGACGCTCTGCTCCAGGTAGGAGGGAGAGTCCTGAGCCATGGCAGCCCCGTTCTGCAGGCTAACTCAGGCTTGGGAAGGCTCCAGGGCCACCAGGAGAGCCCTTCAGTTCCCTGGCCCCGAGGGCCCAGAAAAACTGTGCAAGCACCCTCAGGAAGCTACAGTGTTTGTCTTTGTATTGAGTTACATGATGATTAATCACCATTAATACCACATTGTCTGTGGAAGTTTGAGGATCAGTAAGCAGACAGGGACTATAATCAAGCTTTTACTACTAGGGAAGTAATAACTACCTCAGCTTTGGGGTGCTAATGACTGAGCACTATAAAAATGAGCTGTTCTCATAACAAGGGTGTTCCTTGCCTTTATGATAAGAAATAACCCCCAGACTTGCTCTAACTGTCCAGCTACATAGCACCAAACCAGTATCCACAGGCACTTCAAAACAAGAAAATAATTTCTTGATGGCTTAGCAGTAAGGAAAGGTACTTACTGCTAAGCCCAAGGATCTGAGTTAGGTCCCCAGGACTGATCCACAAGGTAGAAAGGTACTTCATTTTGTTCTTTAGCACACACACACACACACACAGAGAGAGAGAGAGAGAGAGAGAGAGAGAGAGAGAGAGAGAGAGAGAGAGAGAGAGAGAGCGCTTTAAAAGAAAAAATTCTAACATACTGCATGTCACTTCTACAAAGGAACACTCACAATCCTTATGTCTCCGTTCATTTAATAACATCAGAACCTTTAAATGTTTAAGCCAGAGATCTGTCCTATTCAAACCCTTTATCTTCCTCATTCCTCAAATCCAAACAAATACCATTAAGTCTACAATTGATTCATTTTTCCACCTCCCTTTCTACCCACGTACATGTATCAATCCCCTGGCCACACATATATATCCATCCTCTCCTCACTCCTAGCTCTTAACAGCACCCAGCCTTCATGGGCCCTGACAATGACACCCTAATTTCAGCTAAGAAGCAGTTACAGGAGAGATCACATCACCCCTTGTCATCAACAAAAAGTCTAGAATGTCAGATCCTAAAAAACTGTAAACAAATAGGTACCTGTGGTACCTATAGCACACCAAAGCCCATGCTCTCTCAGGATGCAAGTACCTGTAACACAGTCCATGCTGGAATCCAGGCTCCTCTCAGGATGCAAGTACCTGTAACACAGTCCATGCTGGCATCCTGGCTCCTCTCAGTTCTTCTCACTTTGCCCCCTACTCTAAGTTTCTCCAGCTCATGGGCTTCCTTTCCCCCAGCTTCTCATTCCTACATAACCCTGCCATTCTGGCCATGTGCTCTCTTGGTCCCCCTCTCTCTTCCCGTCTCTCTCTCCCCACCTCTTCCTGGCTCATGGCCTGGTCCAGTCAGCTGGCCATGTTCAATCTACTATTTTCTCTCCCTGCTCTGGACTCTTCCAGATGGTCAGGTTCTACCCTCCCTCACATGCACAATCAAAACCTCCCCCTCTGCCATTCTTTGGATTGGCCATGCCCTCACTCTATAGTTTCTGAGACATGTGGCTCTGGCTGGCCTACCTGTGACAACCAGACTGGCCTCAAACTTGCAGAGATCCTCCTGTTTCTGCATCCCCAGGTGCTAGGATTATAAATTCTGCTACCACATCTGACTTTTTTTTTTTTTTTGATAAGTATTTTTGAATCCCTGGTAGTGGGTTTCTCCTTCAATGCAATAATCCAAATCAAGCCAAATAAATTAAAAGGTAAAGGACCAGGTTTAATCTGAGCAAAGCACTTCTGGTGATCTTGGGGGGAGGAGGAGGAGAAATCACATGGCAGGTCTATGGACTGGAGCTTAAATACCCTGTAGATAAGGTCTTGAGCAACTCCTGAGTGGAAGTCAACACTTGGCAGGCTTTCTAAGAAGGGGCAGGGTTAGGAGAAAAAGGAGGGGGGCTGAGGCAAAGTTTTCAATGGAACATTTTTGTTATGTTTGCTGGTGGTTTTATTTTTTGTTTCTTTCTTTCATTTTTCCTTTCTTTCTTTACTCCTGTAATATTTCTTTTTTTTAAAATTTAATTTATTATTTTACATGTGGGTCCTAGTTCCCTCTCCCTCCCTCCCTCTTACCCTCTCTGCCCTCACATGCACCCTGACCACCCTCCTCTCCTTCCCCCCCCCAATTCCACATGTAGGGCAATGCCATCCAGATGGGGTCATGAAGTAGGGACTAGGACTTCTCTTCTGTCTCTAGGTTAAGTCAGTATCCCTCCATGGGGGATGTGTTCACAAGATCCTTTTGTGCATCAGGAATACATCCTGGTTCCACTGTCTGAGGTTCCTTAGACTGCTCAGTCCTTCTGGCTGAGACCCATATTCAGGGGGGCCTGAGTCAGTCCCATGCTGGCTTCCCAGCTATCAGTCTGGTGGCCCCTTAGCTCCTCCTTGTTCAGGTTAGCTGTCTCTATGTGTTTCTGCAACCTGGTCTTGTCCTCTCCCTCTGCATCTGGGTTCTAGTTCGACTCCTCAGTGTTTAGGTATGGGTGTTTGCTTCTGTTTCCAACAGATACTAGATGAGGACTCCATGATGGTGGATAAGTTAGTTGCTGATCAAATTGTTAGTTGGCGGCAGTCTTGTAGGTCTCTAGACCTTTCTTTAGGTTCAGTGTTCTCTTCAAACCAATAATGGCTCCCTCTTTTATATTCTCTCTCTCTCTCTCTCTCTCTCTCTCTCTCTCTCTCTCTTTCTCTCTCTCTCTCTCCTGTCTTCTATTCCTACCCTGACTCAATCTTCCTAGTCACCTTTCCTATAATTCACACCACCACAGGAACTAGGATACAAGGTGTATTCTAAGAGAGTCATATAAAGTCCCTCACAGAAGGGGGAAGGGACAAGTCTCCCAGAGCGCAGGGGAAGTGGGGGGGCAGTGAATGGAGAGAGAAGTAGGAGAAAGAGAGGGGAGGAGAGGAAAGCATGTCGTATAGTATTTCTTAATTTGGTCTCATTTCTCTACTTCCACATTAGTCACCATTCATATCCCTGGCCATTCATAATTATCATTCTTTCAAGTGCCGAGATTATTCTTTTCCCAAGATTTTCCAGGCCCGCTGTGTAGCCCAGTTTGTACTCAAATTGGTGATCCTCCTGCCTCAGCTTCCTAAATGCTAGAATTATAGATGTGTACCATCAGTACTAGATATCTCCTAATTTTCTTATGCTCCATCTCTCTCTCCCTTATCCTACACAATGCTACCAGTTGTCATCTTACAATGCAGATGTGGATATTTCATGGTGACTCTGCTCAATAATGTGTGCTCAAGCAGTGGGTGTATTCATGTCTGCATAGGTGTGTGTGTGGTGTGTGTGTGTGTGTGTGGTTGAAGTCAGGTATTATCTTCCTCTCTCACTGTCTTCCTCATCTCTAAAGACGGGGTCTCTCACTGAACCTGTACTTCACCTATTGGCAAGGAAGGCTGGTTGGCCATGGAACCCGTGATCCTACTGTCCCTGCCTTGGCAGTCCTGGGATTGCAGGTGCACATTCTTCTGCTTGTTGTTTGCTTGTTTATTTGTCTTTATGTAATTAATGGGTGGTGGTTTGAAAGAAAATGGCACCCCAAAGGGAGTGGCACTATTAGGAGGTGTGGCTTTGTTGGAGTAGGTGTGGTCTTGTAGGAGGAAGTGTGTCACTGTGGGGGTGGGCTTTGAAGTCTCATATGTGTTCAAGCCAAGCCCAGTGTCAGGCATGTGTAGAGGTTCACATCTGTAATCCCAGTACTTAGGAGGCTGAGGCAGGAGAATTGCCATGAGTCACAGGCCACATTAGGCTACATAGTGAGTTCTTGGATAGCCTGGGCTACCTTTTGAAAACCTGTCTTAAACACAACACTGGAATCCCAAACAGGTAGAGGCGGGAACCTCAGCATCTCAAGGTTATCATAAGCTACATAGGGAACACTATAACTTGGCAACAAATGTTTGTGATTTTTGTGCTGATAAACCCCATGCTTCCAGGAGAAACAATGCTCCCGAGTCCTTGTCTTGCAGCCCTGACCAACAGTGACCCCACACCCCACGTATGTGGTAATTTATTAAAGTCTTTGGAATCCATAAGTATTGTCTCTCTCCTTCCTCAAGGCACACAACGGATTGGGTGTAATGAGCGGAGCTACAACTAATGAGCAGGATTTGTGTACAACTCATAGCAGAGTCATGTTTGTCCATGTGCATGAAGATTGAGAAGGGTCATGAAAACACTTCAGATGCTTCGATTATTTAAATTTCTTATTTAATTAATATGTGTATATAGACAGAAGTTTCTGTCCTGCTGGGTCCCGTAGCCATTTAGTTCCAAATATACACACAGAGGCTTATATTAATTATAAACTGTTGGCCTATGGCTCAGGCTTCTTATTGGCTAGCTCTCTCTTAATTATTAACTCATTTCTATTAATCTGTATATTTCCACATGCTCTTGGCTTACCGGTGATGCCCAGATCTCTTGCTTCCTTAGCAGCCACATGGCATCTCCCTCCACCTAGTACCTTTCTCTATCCCTGTTTGGATTTCAACCGATGGGGGATGTTCTTCTGTATGTATGTTTCTCTTATTGGTTGATGAATAAAACACTGTTTGGCCAATAGAGGCAGGAAGATAGGCAGGACTAGGAGATGAGGAGAATTCTGGGAAAGGTAGACAGAGAGGAGCCCACCAAGGGACGCCATGTAGTCACTGGGAGGATAGGGTGTGCCAGGCATTCTCTGGTAAGATAAGGCCATGTAGAAATACATAGATTAATAGAAATGGGTTAGTAACTAAGACAGAGCCAGCCAATAAGAAGCCCTAACCATTAGTCAACAGTTTAATAATTAACATAAGTCTTTGTGTGTTTATTAGGGGCTAAGAAGAGCAGCAGGACCTAGGGGGACAAAAAATAGCAACAACAATCAACCAGCAAGAGAAACATATATTCACAGCATACAGAGGACAT